AAGCAAGGACACAGACAACGTAGCTAAAGCCCAGAAAGCGATGTGAGGTTATTTCCATCACCATAAGAGGAAGTCAGCTCTTCTCCCAATTCCCACAAAGAACTTTGGCCAAAGATAAAGATAGGGTGTCAAGCGCGTCTGGTGAGCATTTTTTATTACTGTAGACGCATTAGTATTTTCTCTCTCATAAGTTAAAAATTCCTCTCACTGCTTAGTTTATCAGTATTAAAAAATTATAACCTGAACTGGGGAGAAATCAAGTTCTGCCTTTGAACTCACAACTTAAGAGCTGGGCCAGATGGGATAAACTGAAATGGATCTTTTGTTTGGGCTAGGCTGGGTCAAATTAGGAGGCCACAGAACAGACACGGATTAAACGGCCACTAAGGATGCTAATAGAGCTGAAATGAACTTAGCTTGAAAATACAACTAAGGAGTTCACATCTTTATTGAATTGAAATACAATCTAAGTTTGAAGTCTTGGGGATGTAAACGTAGTCCTGAGACAAAATTGAATTTTGTTTCTTTTTTTTTTTAAATCTTTCAAAGAGGGTTTGCCTTATTGAAGCAATTGATCAAATTAGGAAAAGCATTCCTTGACTTCACTTTGAAATGTAATGACTTAGAGCTTCTGCTTAATTGCAACCAAATTTTAGGCCAATAATATATTTTTTTTCCCCACATGACTGAATTCTTCTGAGACTTTAAGGCTAGGGGTATCACATAGAAAACATGAAAAATCTTTCTTTTATTCTAAACATAGATTAAATGTGGTTACGTGAACCCACAGTAGAAACATCTGCAGGGAAACTTGGGTGTGGAGGTTCATTGCAGCAGCGTCCCAGCAGATGCTGGAGACCGCTCGGATGCCCGCCAGCTGAGCAATGGAGAAGCAGGATGTGACACAGAGATGTCCGTGTACAGACCTGTGTATCTCACAGGTGTAAGTGTGAAACAAGGCAGTTACGAAAGCCATCGGTGGCGTGATTCCATCTGTATCAACTACCCAGTGAGCAAATCCCCTGAGACGTGGTAGATGAGTGCTCCCCTAGGGCTGGGGTGTAGGGGGTGGGTGGGTTGAGGAGAAGTGAGGGGACTACAGTTTCTCTGCCTGATGACAGACAGTGCTCTGCAATTGAGTGCGATGATGCTTGCACAGCGGTTGCAGCTGTGACTGCGCTAGAAGCAGCGTCATGGCTCACTTCAAATGAGTGAATTCCATGGACCTTTTAGCAAAGGTGTTTATGCATTTACTTATACGTATCCATAGTCAGCTGGAATATTGTGTGTGTGTGTGTGTGTAAATAACAATATAATTGTATTTAGTCATATTGTTATTTTTTCTTAGTTTTTCCCAAATTTTTTTGCGGTTCAGAAGAAGTGCTGAACATTATTTAAATAGATATTTTGAAGGGAGTTCTTGCTGGGATAATATGGAGCAGAAATGTAAGAATAACCCCAACGTAGGAGCACACTTTAGTGCTGCGCAAAGGTGGGACTTCCGGCATCTTCTTTCCGGCTGCTGTTGAGCAGGGACCAGTCGAGCCAGTTGAGTAATGGGTTAAGGACCTGAAGGACAGGCTCATGTGGCTGTGGCTCTGGGTACCTCAGTGGCTCTGCCAGCCCATATCTAGAGTGCACATGCAAAGGAAGGTTTGTACAGAGTCCCATCTGAGAGGATACTGAGGTGGGAGTGCCGAGTGTTACAGTGGCTCTGCGTTAGGAGTGAGGGAAGCTTCAGGAACATGCTTCCATGTGATCTCCTTGCTGGACACTGGTCAGTCATGGTTGCACTCTAGGATTCAGCCGTGTCACAGTGTGTACGAGCGAAGAGTAGTGAGCAGTGACATCTCGGTAGGGGTCGGGAGGGTGGCTGGACGGTGGGGAGGAGCCCCGGGAAGAGCCCCTCTTCTCTCTGCCCCCGTCTCGCTGTTCGGAAGCTGTGATGAGGCTGGGGGGGCATGGAAGGCTTTGGGTTGGTAGCTCCAACAAGGAAACAGCTTGTTTCCTGGTTTGACTGCCTGTCACTGTGACTCTGGGGAAGCCTGGCCACGGGATGTGGGTGGAAGAGGGCGGCTGCTGAGTGCCTGGTGTGTGCCTAGCACTGGGGAAGCTTGTGCTGCTGGGCCCAGAAGTCCCAGGATGCGTTCAAGGGCCAGGTAGTAGCCCCTGTGTGCAGCCGGGGGAGATGCCAGGGGCTGCTGTCATCAGGGTGTGTTTGTGGCACAGCAGTGTGAGAGCGTGGCCCTTGGTGGTTGGCTGTGTTTTGGACACTGCCTTGCAAGTCTTTCCTAGATGTGCACTTGGCCGCGGACAGGGAAACTCGTGAACCTGTTGGTGGCCTGGCTGCCTGTGCGGTGGAGGAGTTGGGAGGGCACGGCCCAATGAACAGAGAACTCTGAGCATCCTGTAGGTTTGTGTAAATTTCCCCCATGCTTTCTTCTGGTCTCAATGGCCCCATTTGACTAAAGGAGGCAGTACGTCTTTCGGACAGATCTGCTTCTTCGTAACACATTGATACGCATCTTATAGCTACTTAACCCTGTATTTAAAACCCTGTCACTAGGTGCAGTGTCACTCGTGAACACTAAGTATTGGAGATTATCTCTTCTTCCATTATAGTTTGGCAATCAAAAGAACATGTTTATCAAGTTTGTTAAGTCTGATTTAGGAGGGGTAATCCTTACTTCTGGGTGGGCCTAAAAGGCAGGAATTATGGGCCTTTAAGAGAGACTGGCTAGAGTTACCGATATCATTATCTGCTCAAGGTTGCTATGGCAATCAGTGGTTTGATTGCACTGTGTAATTGGTGGCACAGTGGGTAGTGTAAAAGGATCCTTCTAATTGAGCAGAAACTCTCCCGGACCAATTTAATTAAAGTCCAGCAGAATGAGTGCCAAATTCTTTGAAAGCTCTAAGATACGGCTCTGTTTAGTCCTAGATTAACCAAAGATAGTTATTGTCCTGAATCTGCACCCTGTCCTGAATATTTGATCAAGCCTTTATCACCAGATCATTAAAACTGGCAAGTTAGATTTGAAATGCGGAAGTGTGGCTTTCAGGAAGGCGGTGTGAGTACAGTCTGTGGAATTTTGAAGTGACTTCGAGGAGAAGTGTGGTTACACATGGTGTTGTGCAAAGGCCAGCTTGTGTGGGGGGCGGGGAGGAAGTTGGGACCACAGCGTGCTGGCAGGTGGGACTGCAGGCTGTTATCAGAGCCGTCCTTCCTGGGGATACGGGTCCTGGATGAGCACTCCTCTGCAGAATGCTGTGCCAGCTTAAGAGCTCATGGTCCGACTTGCCTTTATGGACAGAGGATAAGTGTTTGACGCTTGATGGCGTTACACAGGTGCCTGTTGAAACTTTGGTTCTGAATATCCTCATATTCTTACCCCCTCACCTTTTTGTTTTTTTAAAAAAAAATTTTGGTGATATTTTCAGCGTTCATTCCAGTTTTCAGTTTGGGTGTGTTCATTTCAAAGACATATCATATACTGTGTACCTGTAATGTGGCAGACACATCATGGTGGGTGCTGGATGTCAGGTTTTTAAAATCTGTGCCATGCAAACAAAAACTTTTTTTTTTAAATTTGTGCTTTGAACGCTGAGGCTTAAAGAACAGTTGGGCTCTTGAAGGCTGTTCACCCGATTGTATTTCCCCCCCAACCTCTGGTAATGCTATTGCTACAAATGGGACTCTGCTGCCACCTGGAGGCGTTATGTGGGTTGTGCAGGATTCCCTATGCATTGCCGAGAAATAAGCCACCATGGAGTGCAAATGTGGGGTTACTTGCTCGATCCTAGCCTTAAGCGGATTTTACAAACACTCCTGGCTTAGTTGTTTGGCAGTAAGAAGAACTTAAATAAATCCACCGGGAGGGTGGAAGCCTTAGGGAACTTAAGTTAGTAGGACTGGGGCTGGCATCTTGATACAGGTTGCAAGGCTGCTGCCTTCTACAGTGATAGTATCATATAATGGGTACCAGTTTGTGCCCTAGCTTCTGCACATCCAATCCAGCTCCCTGCTAAAGGACTGGAAAAGGCAGGATGACCCAAATGCTTGGGCCCCTGCCACCCATGTGGGAGATCTGGAAGTAGCTCCTGGCTTTCTCCTGTTTTAGCCTAACTTGGGGAATAAGCTAGCAGATAGAAGATGCTGCTGCCTGCCTGCCACACCCTGCCCCAACTCTGACATTCAAATAAATAAATTTTTTTTTGGAAAAATTAGTAAGGCTGTAAAAGTAGAGTCCAGTCTGTTTAATGCGCCTGCTGGGACAGTTCGTGGGTTTCCCCAGGGTTCAGGAGAACTGTGGAAGGTTGGGAAGCTGAGCTCCAAGCAGAGTGAGAGGTTTCCCAAAGTTATGTGTTCCTGTGCATTTGGGGCCATAATCTGCAATCTTTTACTCTCCAGACCCAAACCTGCTCTCGGGGTGGTTGTTGCCATGGCAGTAGCTCTTGCTGACAGGCAGCTGAGCATTTGGGAAGAGAACCAATCAGTCCAACCAGGGAGAAAGAAAATGCCCCATTCAATGAGCCTTCCTGTTCATCTCAGAACAGCGGCATGTCACTCCTGCTTCCAGGAAATCCCTTGCTCAGAGGGGGACATCCAGTGTGCCCGGGGCTGCCCACCACTCAGCCTCCGCCTTCAGGCTCATGCAGGGGGGCCTTGGGGACTCTAGAGTTTCAACAAGCGGGAGGCAAAGCCAGCCACTTCTCGAAAGAATGAAGAAAGGGAACGTGGCCTTGCTGTAAGGCCTTGAGTGGTAAGCAGCCCTCCCTGGAAATCTTTTTCCCCCAAAGATATCCCGCGTGAGCTCCTGGGCGTGTTCACACCTGGTCTACATGCATATCATAGCAGAGTTTGTGGGCAATCGGGTTATCAGGTGTCGGAATGTTTTTGAGAAGCCTGACCCAAAATCCTGGCTCAGGGGGAAGCCTGTTGATATCAGACAAAAATTCTGATCAGCACAAGATGATGAGGTTTCTTCTTCTTCTTGCAGAGGTTAAGCACTTGGTGCCCAGTGGACCGTCACCTGCCGAGGAGAACGCCAAGGTAATGGTTGCCCATCCTGCTTCTTTCTCAGCACCGAGGGACGGCGGGTGTGAAGATCTAGTGGTGAAAAAGAAAAAAGAAAAACCTGCAGAAAAGTAGAGATGTGTCCCAAGTTGCATTTGGAAGAATTGAGGGCCATGATTGGAGTTGAGTGCCTGCTTTTTTATGAGTAAACCTCACTGTCTTTCTGAACTGTTGCCACAAGCAAGGTGTATGGAAGCATTTTCCAAAGCAGCCGTGAACTTGGCGTTTGGTCTTGGTGGAGGTTGGCTGTCCGTGGGATGACATGCGTGGTTTTCACAGATACTCTGGACAGAATTTGACCTGGATGGCCCTCGGGCTTGTTGCTGCTTGCCTGCGGTCCCTCTATTTCTTTTAAGCTCTTAAATGAACATGGAGTAGACGCCTAGCTTTCTGTTTATAAGAGGTGATACATATTTTACTGCTTTTTTTTCTGAAGTGGCATTTCTAGTTCATGAAAATAAAGGAACATGTAGAAATATAGCATAAATATTAACTAAAAATTATCCCACTGCTGGACCTGCCTTTATCTGTTTCAGGGTGTCAGCAGCCTGGAGGGTCAGCTGAAGGGACACGAAGAACAGGCCAGCCTGGCATCCGGTATGTTCCCAAACAGAGCTTTCCTTGTACTTGTCCTGTAGATCCTACAGACGTGAAGAATATAGACTTTATTATCTTTTTAATTCACAATTTTTTACTTTTCGAGATGACATTTCAAACTGATGTTGTAGTCAAGGGCTTATAGACACCAATAAATAAAGCGTTCAACAAGCATAGAAAGCTAGAACGTATCCAGTGTGAAAATAGGCAAGGGCTGTAACAATAATCAGATGAAAGGATGTTCAATTTCACTCACAGAAAAAGGAAATTTAAAATGTATTTTTGTATGTTGTATTCCTTCCTGGGAAAGCTACTGAGCATTGGCTACAGTAGTGAGATGGTAACTGTGCTTGGGGCTCCGAATACAATGTAACAAAGCCAGCAAACCATCCAGGCTTGCGGGGCAGTTTTACTCCCAGCTGGACACTGCTAGTTACTGCCTGGACTGCCTTGTTCCTACAGAGTCGACACTGCCCACTGGTTGCAGGTGAATCCATGCAGCTGTCAAGGGGCGAGGAAGTGGTGGTTGGTGACCTTGATGTTCAGAGCTTCACATGGGCTGGCTTCAGGCTCCCCTCGCTCGCCCGCCTCTGTCCCCCCACCTTACCTGATACCCACCGGGAGTACCCGCTGCTGAGCTGATGTGCTCTACCCGCCCTGGCCTCAGGACGGGGGCTTGCTGTCTTAGCGACCGGCAGAGCCCTTGGCAAGGTGGGGAGCTTGCCTCCCACACTGGGACGTTCCTGTCTGCGCATGGTGTTCTAGCTCCCGGTGCTGTGAGGATGCCCCCATCAGACTCTCCCATTGCATTTGGTTTCGTCCACACTGATGGGGGGCCTTGGCCTTGAGTCATGTGGGGGTGAGCAGGGCATAATGAAGTTTCTGGGGTCAAGAACATTGTTCTGGGACCCTGGGGAGTCTCGAGACTCTTGGAATCGGAAGTGGCAAACAGAAGGGCCTGAACCTTCACAATTGCTTTCTCTGGATTCAACGTCACAGAGGCAGCTCACACCCATGGGGACTACACGCAAGTGAAGCCAGCCTTGGAGCTGCGGGGTTGGGCCAGTGACCAAGGGCTCAGACGCGTGTGAAGTCAGAGAGAGCCGAGGTGAGGCCCAGGGTAGAGCTTAACCTTGAGCCTGCAAGGCAGGGACAGTTTTGGCTCCCTGGGCAGGCACCCAGTAGAGCACTGGGAGGGTTGTTGTGCACATAGAGACTGTGTTGGGTCCCCTGGCCACAAGCCCAAAGAGATTCTGCTGAGGCGAGGCAAAAACGAAGACCTGTGCCAGCAAAGCATGCACCTTCGATATTCCTTCTGTGTGATGCGGGCACACGTGTACCTGCCAGAGGACAGGAGGAGGAGGAGAAGGAAAGCAGATGTCCCTATGCAGACACCTCTGTGGCCTCGCCGTCAGGCACACAGCTGACACTCACACGCATAGAGTGTCTCAAAGGCAGTTTGCACCCGGGAACGTGAGCTCCGTGATGTGCTTGCCCTAGCACATCGCTGGGCGGCAGTGGACAACAGTTCTGGCAGTCAGTTGCATTGCATAGTAGGACCATGCTATTTTACAGTTGGTAGTCCTATCCAAGTCTCAGACTGGTGTCCTCGCCGGGTGAGAAGATTCACCCTGGAAGCCCTTGTGGCCTGACCTGCTCCGAGTGTTTGCCCGGTGACATCAGCGTGTCTGCAGAGGGCACACGGGGGAGACTTTGATCCGGTGATTTATGAAAAGAACCTCGTGCTGCTTTGTTTATTTAACACTTTTACATAAAAAGAAAAAATGAAAGTGCCTGAAAAGCTGTGTGGAGACAGAGGGGAAGGGCAAGCATTGAGCAGTACTGGGACGGTGATGTGCGGTCAGCAATGGATGTGGTGTCTCCAGAGGCCCACACAGAACTCTTTTTATTAAAAAAAATTTTTATTTATTTTTATTGGAAAGGTAGATATACAGAGAGAAGGAGATACAGAGAGGAAGATCTTCTGTCCGATGATTCACTCCCCAGGCAGCCACAATGGCCAGAACTGAGCTGATCTGAAGCCAGGAGCCAGGAACTTCCTCCAGGTCTCCCATGCAGGTGCAGGGTCCCAAGGCTTTAGGCCGTTCTCCACTGCCTTCCCAGGCCACAAGTAGGGAGCTGGATGGGAACTGGAGCAGCCGGGATATGAACCAGCACCCATATGGGATCCTGGCGTGTTTAAGGCGAGTACTTCCGTCACTAGGCTGCTGCGCTGGGCCAGCTCTTTTATTTTTAAAAACATTTTTATTTGAGAGGCAGAGAAAGCAAGAATGAGCCCTCCCATGTGCTGGTTTACTCCTCACATGTGCACGAAGGCCAGGACCAGACCAGGCTAACACTGGGGGCCTGGAACACAGTCCAGGGCTGTCATGGGATGCCAAGGTCATGACTGCTTGGGCCATTGTGGATCCATTCAGGGTCTGCATTAGTTGCATGGAGTTGGGAATCCAAGCCTAGTACATTGATGTGAAATGCAGCTGTCCTCGCCAACACTGGAACTGCTGGCTGAAGGTTGTTCCTGCTGCACTTTTCTGAGGACCATGTTCTTCCCTGTCAGGGAAGACAAGGCTAAGTATGTGAGATGGAGGTGTAAGTCCTCGTGACCTCTACTGTTAAGGTTCTTGTGGTGTTAATTTTAATGTGTGTGATCTTGCCAGTTTCACCAGAGATGAATGACCAGCTGTCCAATTGTGCTGTCCAGCCCAGTGGCCAACCACCGTCTGTGTCAGTTGAGCTCCGATTACTGTACTGAAGAGCTGCATTTTCAATTGAATAATTTATTTTTCAGAAAGATTAATTTATTTGAAAAGCAGAGTGACACATACGGAGAATGAAGAGAAAGAGAGAGAGCCATTTTCCATCTGTTAGCTTACTCTCAAAATGGCCACAACAGTTAGGGCAGGGCCAGGCTGAAGCCTGGACCGTTTGCTGCTGCTTTCCCAGGGACATTAGCATGGGGCTGGATTACAGACAGAGCAGCTGGGACTTGAACTAACACTGATATGGGATGTTGGGGTTACAGATCTTGATTTATCCTGAAGATTGTATTTGCTTTGATTGTATTGGACAGGGAGGACCAGAGTACATTCCACTGTGGTGTTCTGATTGGCTGCCCAGAACATCAGGGGTCACACTGGCTGTTGGTTTACACTCTGGGAATGACAGTTGATTGGAGACATCCAGTGTTGGAGCGGTGGTAGCTGGTAGGTAAGGTCATCTGAGGCAGCAGGAGGAGATAGTAGGGTCGCATCTATGCTTGCGCTCTTGGTTGCTGTCAAGGCCTGCCGTTTGGTTCATGCTTGCGCTCTTGGTTGCTGTCAAGGCCTGCTGTTTGGTTCAAAGGGGGACAATCCCAGGCTGAAGGGCTGGGGTCAGATTCTGTTGCTGAACATGGGCCCCTTTGATATCCTAGATGGCTGAGTGAGGAGAGGAGACAGCGCACTTGAAGGATGTGGGGGGAATGAAGGCAGATGATGTGAAAGGGGCCAGCATGGCGAGGATGAGGGGTAACAGGGCCGCCTGACTCATGGGAAAGGGATGGAGTGGGGTCATGGAGCAGGAGCACCACTGTAAGCAGAGTCGACATCAGTGGGGCTGTGCTGAGGAGAAGGGGAGTGGACGTCTGGCAGGACCAGGTGGGTGACCAGAGGGCCTGTGGTTGGAAGGAGGCACCCTGCTGCATGGTTGGACTCCCAGCCTTATGCCAAGCTTCCAGGACCATCTCTGCGTTAGTAAAGCTGTGAACACGTTAGGCTTTGTGCTTTACAAGATTTTCTCTTCCCTCTCTTCCCTCTCCCCTTCTCCTGTTCCCGTCTGCTTCCCCTTCCTTTTCCCTCCCTTCCCCCTGCAGGGCCTCCTCTGCCCACCGAGCCTGTACATTTACTGCACTGGCATTTACATAATTTGAACTTCCTGCTCTAAACTTCACAATAAGCACCCAGATTTGGCATCACTTTATGAAATCCCAAGTTCTGTTACGTATTTCTTTGGAAAGATGTGAGTACTTAGTTGAAAAGCTTAGTGTAGAGAGAGAGTGAGGGAGAGATCACCTACCCGCTGTTTCAATGTCCAAATGGTTGCAACAACCAAGGCTGGGCCAGACTGGAGCCGTGAGCCGGGAACTTCATCATCCAGGTCCCCATCATGCGTGGCAAGGGGTTCAAGCACGTGGGCCATCATCTACCACATCCCCAGGAGCATCAGAAGGGGGTCAGATTTGGCTCTGATATGGGATGCTAGTGTTTCAAGGAGCTGCTTAGCCCACTGTGCAATGTTGACCACGCAAACTACTTTTAGAGGGCCGCTCCTGAGACAACGTGAAGCTTTGCGGTTTTGGTTAGAAATGAAGATTTCCAGTGAAGGGCCCTGTTGCTGGAAGGTGGTGCTGTAGCTTCCTCAGAAAGTGGGCTTGTGGTGGGCCTGGGAGGCTGTGGAAGCCTGGCTGGATCAGCCATGCTGCTACCCAACTGATTACCCTGCACTGGACTGTCTCTCGCCATCCACACAGCACTAACAATGACAGGAAATTGGTTTCACTAGAGTTGCATGTCAGTGACAAGTTGGATGGGAAGAAGTGAAGGCTTAGTGAAAATGACCTGGCAAAAGGGGCACTCAGCGTGTTTTAACTTTCTCCAGGAGAGAAGGTAGTGATGAGACAGGCAGCAACATCAGTGGTGGGCGTTGGGGGATGGAATTGGCTGGCTCATCCTCTCGGCGTGGGGCCTCTTGCATAACTGCAGCTCTGGGTGTACGGAAGTCCAGATCTGCCATGACAGGGCTGGATGCAGGAAATGGGCTTGGCTCAAACACCAGCGAAGGTGTTCAAGACATATTACTAGATAAGCATTTTTGGAACAACAACAAAAAAATAACACTCTTGTAGAAGAGGTAGAGATAGTGAAAGTCCACCAGAGAAAAACTGGACATTTTGTGAAGAAAATTTGGGGAATTCTTATCTCTCACCCAAAGACAGTTATTAATTTTTAGGTGAATTTCCTGCTAACATTTCCCCTATGTATGCATTTCTTTGACATTGCTGTGATCATGCGAATGATAGAATTTCTAAAATGATGCTGTGCGAAGACTTCTGGATCATTTTTGTAGGAACAAAGATAAAAAGCCATCCATCCTCCCATTAAGGGAGGGCAAAAAGGGGCTCCCTTTTTCCCTGTCTTACGTGAACGGTCAGTTTCGTAGGCTGACCTGGTCTGCGTGTGCGACGCTCTCATCTTAGCACCCTTTGGTACTTTGGCTCACGGCCTTGCCTCTGTTGTTCCTGATTTAAGTGTAAAACGAGAAGAAGATGCGTGAGTGGTTGCCGAGACTGCGAGGGTGAGCACTAGGAGGGCAGATGAGACCACGCTGGATGTGGAAGGAAACCCAGCAACCAAGCAGGGACCCAGCCGACCTCACACAAGCAAGCGGAAAGCCAGTTGGGGAGAGAAGGAAGCAAACATTCGGACATGAGGTTCAGATGTCCCCAACCGCAAAGACACAGCCTGCATTGGTCATGCATAGGGCTGGGAGGAAGCTACCCCCTGGGAGCTCAGGACAGAGGTCTACCCAGGGACACGGGGAGCACAGTCCCCTGAAGCAGCCGGGACACTGGGGAGCACAGCCCCCTGAAGCAGCCGTGACACGGGGAGCACAGCCCCCTGAAGCAGCCATGACACGGGGAGCACAGCCCCCTGAAGCAGCCGTGACACTGGGGAGCACAGCCCCCTGAAGCAGCTGTGACATGGGGAGCACAGCCCCCTGAAGCAGCCGTGACACGGGGGAGCACAGCCCCCTGAAGCAGCTGTGACACGGGGAGCACAGCCCCCTGAAGCAGCCGTGACACGGGGGGCACTGCACCCTGAAGCAGCTGGGACACTGGGGAGCACAGGCCCCTGAAGCAGCCGTGACACGGGGAGCACAGCACCCTGAAGCAGCTGGGACACAGGGAGCACAGCCCCCTGAAGCAGCTGTGACACGGGGAGCACAGCCCCCTGAAGCAGCCGGGACACTGGGGAGCACAGCCCGCTGAAGCAGCTGTGACACTGGGAGCACAGCCCCCTGAAGCAGCCGGGACACTGGGGAGCACAGCCCCCTGAAGCAGCCTGTTGGGAGTGGTGTGGAATTTGTTTTCAAGAGCCCCGTTTGAGGCTTGGGTGTTTTGGGGAGCTGGGTGGAGATGGTGCAGTGAGTAGTGCTAGTTATGTAAACAGCCAGCCAGAACTAATTCGATTGGTTTCTCTTTTTCCCCTGGCATCATGAGTGGTTTGGAAATGGGATTAACGCTCCTGAACTGTGAATGCTTAGGATACAGTACTTTGTAAGTTCCCATGAAAATTTCGAGATGGCTCCACCACGGGGTCTTGAGCCTGAACTCCTAACAGCTAGGACTCCTGTAAGTGGCAGCAGATCCTCTGCTGGTGGCACTGTCATGTGTGTATCTATGTGGCCATCTCAGGGATGTCACGCGCAACATGGACACAGTGGAAAAAGGGGGAGATTGCGAGAACCTTGGTGGAGCTCTTCTCTTCTGGAAAATAAATTTCCAGGCCTAATTTTTGGCAGATCTCTCTACACATCTCCTCAAGATGGTGAAACTTCATGGATTGCTTTTCTTGAGTGTGTGTGTGTGTGTGTGTGTGGGTGTGGGTGTAGGGAGTGTCAGCTCCCTACCGCAGACTGAAACTTAACAGTGATTTAGTTTGGCAGAGAAATATCCTAAGAAGGCCACTGGGAATACAAAGTTGTTTTGTGCAAATTCTGATGCAAGTTTTATTCATTTGATGTGTGTCAATGAGATCTTTTTGTACTTCTTAAAGTTTTGAAAATTATTTCTGGTAGTAGCCATCACTGACTTACTGTAATCCCAGCCCAGTGCTCTAAGCTCGATTTGGTTCTCTTTATTTAGTGTCTTTTTGCCTTTGTATGTGTGGCCTTATTGTTTGGGTGAAATTCCCTTTGTGGAATGTATGGAAAGATTTTTTTTTTCCTTAAATGAGATCATTTTAGCATTTATTGATAGGCCTCTTATCTCATAAATTGAAAGAAAGCATCAGGAGGATTTTTAGGTTAATATAAACATTCAAGCAAGCAGGAGACATGAAGTACACCTTGAAATTTTATGTTTTCTTTAGATTGGAAAAACCTTGTAAGTTCCAAGTCCGGAATGCCGTCTGACACAAGGATGGGTCTATATTTTGCTGAAAGATATAAAATAAAAGGCAGCATCTGGAATGCTTCTTGGAGGTTAGGTGTCCCTAAGGCAAGTCCCCTGTTTTCTCGTGGTTTTAAGCTTTGGAAAGCCTGAATTTACTGGCCTGCAAGTAGAAGGGCCATGGTGACTAGCAGGTGCAGACAAGGAGGGAGTGATCCTTGCAATCGGGGAGAAGGAGTGTTAGGTTTCTCCTAGGTGATTACAAAAGCAATGAATAAAAGCACGTTTTTAAATGAGGTCTGCAGGTTTGAATTGGTTATCATCATGCGTATTATGAGTCTGGAGGAAATATGAAAATGGAAAAAAGGATTCCCTGCTAGAGTTTAAATGAAATGACGAAGCAGTTGGAATTTATTTTTTAACACGGAGGAGAAGGAACCAGGTGACTGATTTTCTGTCGTTGATTGGACTTGGAGATGCCCAACGTGGGCCAGTACAGGTGAATTCGTGTTTACACTGGTGTCGTCGTGTCCCAGAGATGCTGCTGTTTCGCATTAGCACTAACTGTGCCCGTCACATTCCACATTGCCTTCTCCTTTCATCTTACACATAAACTGAATTTGTGAAATGCAACTGAGAGAGGGGAAATTCTTCTGTCTCCATCCTAAACTCCTCAACCCCAAATAAACCAGCTTAATTAATATGTAAATTCCATAGGTTCTGGCCCTAAAGATCTTTTGTCTTTTATTTTAAGTTATTAGATTATAAAATTTTAAACAAGTGTCATATCTTGAGAAAACGACAACTGCTTTATCCAACATGAGACAAATAATACATTCTGGAAATGGCATGTATAACGTTTGTGCTATGGAAAGTTCTTCCTCATTTCTTGTGTTACAACACTTCAAGGAACAGGCACTTGGCAAAGAATCCCCTTGCCAGCGGGCTCACAGGGAGCAGGTGTGATTGCAGGGTACCTGTGCTTATGGGGTTTAGGTTTGCTTTCATTTCATGAACTGAGTACCTAGTGGTTGATGCTTTGGATGGATCATCAGGGCAGTTAAGATTCTGGTGGGCTTCCGTGCCCAGACAGTAGAAGAAGCTCTCACAATTTACTGGACTGATTTGCTTGAAGTTTTAGACAGGATACTCTGGAAGGCGTTTTTAAGAAACATGACTTGTGCTTCAAGCGTGAGTGAGAGCTTTTTCTGCCTATGAATGTTTCCCAGAAGCCGCTGTAGCTGACAATCATTAGCAAAGGTGTGCCGTGTCGCAGACATGACGCTGAGCTCTAAAACGGACTGAAAGTAAATGCTCACCCAGGTGATTCTGTGTATGTTTTAAAAATTAAAGTTCTCTATGAACTTAAACTCCCTCCCCAGGTCTCTGGGTTGAGAGTCATTTTTCTTTATAATTGTATTCTGCTGATTAAGAAAAAAAATTGCATTTATTCCTCAATAAAATGCGATGGACTGGAAAATAATATTCAAAGTTCTTTTCCTGCAGTTGCAGTGCTTGCAACTCTAGCTGTATTTTGTCCCAGTTGTATGTTTATGGAGCAAATCCATGTAAAAACACAATGGGGATTTATACAATAGTGATTTTGATTTGATTTGGAGCGTAATGGATATGTCCTCTTTTTGCTGTCATGTGTGTGCCAGTCAGCGTCTGCCCCCTCAGGTGGGTTTAGCTGTTACAGACAAGGCTGGGCAGCTGTTTTCTTCAATAGCCTGGCATGGTACTGCCAACAACTTGGAAAATGATTGAAGAATACTAATTAAGATGCATCCTTGTCACGTTCCACCTTTGCAGATTCAATGCACCCTCATATTGTTTGCCAAGTCTTTTGGTTTATTTCGGCATCGACTGACCAAGCAAAAGAAAACACGACACTTCTCACTGTTATTCCTACTCCAAGAAATGTTTCCAAGAGCCTTCCCGACAAGACTTGATCTAGAGTCCCTTCCTTCCCCCCAGCCTCTGCTTGCTGTTTTTGAGCCCATCTGTGTGCCTGGAGAAGCAGGGGAGAAGTCTGAGCAGTGCCATGATTTATGGGCAGGCAGTAATGGGTTTCTCCTGAATGCTAATTACTGCAGAATTGTTTAGGGAGACTGTGCAAGAACGGCTGGTTTGTGGTAAATTAGTCACTAGCTCTATTGAGGTGGCCAGCAAGTTTATACCAGAGTTATAAAGGCACCTAAATCCTCAGGCTCGATGGCCAAACTCGGTGACAGTTTAGGAAAAATGCGCCAGTTTTGCTGAACGGCAGTAGATGCCTTTGCATAGATCCCATGAAACGAGTGCAAGTCTGCGTGAAAGTTGAAACTTCCAACCACTTTAGGACAGAAAGGATGGGGAGACTGGCTATTCAGTGAATTATCAGAGCTGTTAAGCTCCTGGAGCTACAAAGCTGTTCAAACTGAAGAATAGCCTGCCCTGGAAAGAGCCCTGCCCTGGGTGCGCCAGCCTGCATTCGCCCGTGGATCAAGCTCCCTGGCTGTCCACACACATAAACCTCAACCTTGATCTCCCTGCGCACAGGGTGGTTTTGGTGCAGAGCCATCCTCCAGTCCCTCCGCAAAGCAAGCGCCTGCCCTGGGAGGTTTTTCTTGGATGCCAGGCAGCTCCCTGTCAATTCCCAGTTACTTTCCTTCTTCATTTCCATTTCCAGCAACAAGACGAGGGGAGTTAATGATTCATTTGCTCCTGGTGACCTTTTGAATAACTGGACTGCGATGGATCTGAGAGGTGCTTGGCTCCCCCTCATCCTCCCCCCTCCCTTTCCTTCCCTGGTTTGGCTTTAATATTTACAGCCTCCTGGTCGGTCTACATGCCTGAACGCCCGGAGCCAGCAACGCAGGGCTTGCCTCTCCCTCCCCGGTGTTGGGGAGCTATTTCATGCAGTCTCATTCCTTCCTTTTACATCACGCGGGAGGCTTGCCTCCTGGCTCCGCCGAGTGCTTCCTGAGTGTGTACTGTGTAATCTGTCCATTCCATTAAAACAGAGGATGGATTCTGACTCCGACTCACCTTTTAACTACTCCTGGCCTTCCTTTCCTAAAATGAAGATTCGCCGGAGGGCATCCAAACAAGGTAGATTGCGATGGTCTGGTCTTCTCCCCTGGAGCCAAACAGGGCATCTTCATATTCTTGCCTTTCTCACGCTTGTTTCTTTGCCAGTCTGTTTTGGGATACAGCGCATGCTGACACATGTCTTCAGAAAACTCTTGCTGTAGAAATGTTTTGAAGGTAGACTTCCGGGGAAAACTTCTTTCCTCTTCTGTTGCTTTTACTTTATATTCTCCTTGGTGTTCGGGACTCTGTTAAAAAAAAATGTGTTTAGTTCAAGGTCAGTGTTTTGGATTCACTTAATCAGAGCTACTTTGGAGTTACCTTGACGATGAGGAGTCTTGTTGATTTCAACATTTCTAGTCCTTCTGGGATGTACAGCGAATGGCGTCTATGTTTGATACTGGCTTTCTGCTTCTTTTGTTTTCATTTGCAAGGGTATGTTAATGAAAAGGAATCATGTGTACATAGATATTCTATTTTGCTGACTTATAGATGTTAGAAGGAAGGGGTTTTTAAATGTTCATTAAGATAGAAGGCCTTTGTACCTTCAAGGAATAAAGTCCTATATTATAAAGCTCATGGGAAATAATGGTCAAGCATAGCAATTGTTAAGAGTCAGAGGAAGACTATCCATTGCTTTGTAGCATGGTTAGAACCGTGGTGGGCTTGCTGTGATGCCTCTTAGCTGAAGTCCCCTCTTATTGTGGTCAGGCCCCCTCTATTGTGGTCAAGCCTTGGACACCAGTGAGAAGCTGGTATGTGAGGGCACAATGGTGGTGCCCTGTGTCGCTGCTATTTTATCCTTGGTTGAGCTTAGCAGGTGGCCATTTTTGCCATCTGAGGATTAGAAAAGCAAGAAAGGAGTCCTTCTGGCCTCTTTCCTCCTGCAGGGACATCTGAGCACTTGTCTGATTCATGGAGGAAAGGCTCAAGTCCATGGGCTAACTTGCTGGTAGTACAGGTGGATTTCTGCATTGTACCTGCCGTGTGGCCTTTTGGGGACAGTCCACGCACTTTCGGTGTGACCTGCACTTCCCCTAGACTAGAATACATCCTAGCTTCAAGGGTCTTTTTCCTTCCTTTTCATATTAAATAGAAGTGCTTGTTTCTTGCTTGCTTTTTAGCTGTGTTACAGGCCAGTTGCAGGGGAATAAGATGAGTTGGCCAGCCAGCCAGCCAGAAGCCTCAGCATGCACTTGTTTGGTGTGCTGCTCAGCTGAAATTGCTACTGGGGACTTTATTAGCTTGTGTTCAGTATACTATTTTTTCTTGTTACTACATTTAAAACATAATTTTCTTATAACAACAAAATGGCTTTTTTTTTCTATTTCATTAAGTTTCTGGATGTTATAAGAAAGGAATGTATACAATCACGGTTTTAACCCCAAAGCCTGTGTATGTCTCAGGGATAGAGTCACATAGGTAAGGGTCATGCTGTACGAAAGTTATCAATAAATGGGCTAAGAGAACAATCCACGTATAAGGGAGCACACTTTGTGCTTTAAGAGCAGGTGTCTGTTTACAGATGGAAAGTGGAGTGAGTGTTAACAGTAGTATTTCTATGTTTATGTTAGTGTTGTCCTGTGCTGTGCCTCTTAGCCTTTCTGTAAAACTGAAAGCCGTTCAAAGAGTGAGAGAGCAGCTATGCCAAGTGTGTAGCCCTTTGGTAAGAGTTGGAGTCTTGAGTGGTCTTGGTACCTTGAGAGTCCTCAGGCCAGGGGATGCTCTGTGTGACTTGGAAACCTCCATGCAGTTGTAGGCAGGAGGCATCTGCTGTCTGTTTCTGTCTTCTAGTCTCTGCTTGATGGCCTGGATGCCCGTGTTCCTGGGGCCTCTGCGACTTGGAGGGCCAGGGGATTCATGATCAGGAGGCCATTGACAGGCTTGGAGTCCAGTGCCGTTGTAGGGAACATATTAACCACACTCTCGCTTTAAATTCAAAGCTGGAGCACAGCCAGCTTGAGCTCTAGCAGAAAGTCATAACATAGCTATGTATAAATTAAACCCAATTCAAGTGAAAGCAAGTACCCAGGATATGAAAATGATTAACTATTTGCTGCTGATAAACAAAAGATGAGTGAGGACCAGGTTGGTAACAGAGAGTTGGGGTGGTTAGACTGTGTCGAACGCTTATTTTTTGGTTAATGATGATGGTGTTGTTGTGAGGAATAAAGCTGGACGTGTCATTATGTCATGTGGATGGAGTCTCCAAACCGTGGACTCCGGGAGATAACCTGGTTCTGCTACCCCAAGTGTAGAGGAGGGCAGTGGGGGCGCAAGAGATGAAGTAGTGGGAATTTTTCCATGTGCTCAGCAGGTGTTTCTGTAGTGTCAGACACTGCTGTGGAGTAGGGTGAAGTTGTGACCCTGAATGAGGCTGGCCCTGCTTACAAGGACCCAAGCATTGGGACTCGACCCTTTGTCTTCAGGATCCAGGCGTTCCAGTGGTAGAAACAACAACATAATTTTTCACACTGATGAGCACTTTGGGAAGGTCTGTGCTTTCCCTAGTTGGAGTGGGTGAGGTGTGCATTCCAGTCATTCTCTGAAACCAAGGTGCCTGGGACTGCTGCTTCCCATCACCAGGCATTCTCAGGTGTAGTTTCCAGTGTCCCGGGGAGTCGCGAAGGAGGCTTTCAGCACCTGGAATTTCTGGCTTCTTAGCAAACCTCTCTTGCATCTGTCAGGACGATCCTCGCCTTGACCCTCTGGTGTTCCTTCCCTGTCCTCAGCCTCCGTGTTCAGGTTTGCTTTGCAGTGTCCTCCTGTGGTTGTTTTCATTTCTTTCCAACACGCGTTAGTGGGGAAGCAAACCCTGAGTGCGAGCATTTGGCGAGGAGCATGTCAGAACCCAGCCATGCCATATTTTACCCACGAAGCATAGCCACTGCCGTTTTTCTCTTCTGAGCCTTCAGAAGACAAGAGAATGTTAAGTTACAAGGGGTGCCTTCGGACTCGACCAGTGTCTGGAGGAGGCTGTGATGGGAAGTGGTGAAAGCAAGCTGCCCCTAGAGTACTTCTGGGGGTTCTTAAAGATTGCTTCTGTGTCTTTTCGTGAGCGCCCTGTGGGCAGGCTGTCCTGGGAGCCCAGTGGTTAATGATTGGAGTGGTCCTCAGTCCACCACTGTTCCACTTCAGGGGCTCTAGGAATGCTCAGAGCTTTTCTCCCGTTGGTTTCCGTAGGAGATTCAAAAGGAGATTCAACTAAGACATTTGCTGTTTACTTATCAGAGATGTAAGAATGCAGAGATGTGAGGCATAAATTGGGCTTTCCCTACAGTTCTTCTTCACTGTTTAAAATGCATACCTTAGGGGATACGGAAGGATCTTTTTCTTTGTAACTTCCGTGTACTTCACGCAATGGCAATGGTTCCCTTCTATGCTTGAAACGTGTGCTTCCCCAGCAACACCAGCTCAAGTGCTTGGCTCCTCCCCACCCCGCCTTTTTGTTTTCCTGATGCAGGGCCAGTCTGTCCTTACCAAAGGAGATACTGTATAACAGAAACCTTGACAGCCTCGGAGAATGTGGACAGGTGATTGTTTTCAACTAAGATTGATGTGACACCCTATTAATCTTAATCACTACTGCTTAGCAGGCTATGGCGAGTGCTTTACGTTAATGCTGTCTGAGTCTCAAAATAACTCTGCAGGACAGATATTATCTCTGTTTTATAGGTGAAGACACTGAGGCTTACACTGTCTTGAACTTGTTTTCAAGGCCACAACAGTGAACTCAGGCACCAGTAACTGTGGTAGAACAGGGAAGCGGGATGAATGGGAGAATGGCATACGAGTCAAGTGTTTTTCGCATGTGTAATCTTGTAACAATAACAACAACAACTTGTTGTTTGTGTGTTAGATGCCAATTGCCATGTTCATTTGTTAGCTGGGGACTTGGAGGCCTCACAGAAGACACGTGAGTTTCTCCAGATCAGAGGAGGCAGAGCCTGTGCCAGAGCCATCTCTGGAATCAGGACACTGCACTTGCAAGGCTTCACTCTTCCCATTAGGCCATAGTGCCTCCTAGGAGAGTAAGAGATGGTGAACTTGGATAGCAGCCTTGGGACATGAGGGTGCTGTGGGCATTGTCTCCATTTCCTCTGTGAGTTAGTGACTAAGAAGAGAGGCGACAGGGGAGACTCTGGATGAGCAAGATGGCAACACTGTCGAGTTCTGATACCTCTTTGGCATACTGATGCACTCACACGCATTACACACATGGGGCTGGGCTGAACGGTCAGGTGCCCGGAGCGCTGGTTACCAGTTGACTTGGGAGAAGAAGAGGCCAGAATTGAGAATTGGGTTAAGAGTACTTCTGCTTTGTCCTGGGAGGTTCACGGGTTTGTGCCAGAGGCAGGTGCATTGAGTGTGTCTGTGTGAGGCTGCTGTAATGGCTCACTCAATATTCAGAGAGCAGATACTGAGCTGCAAAAACAGTCCTTGACATAGGGAGAGTTTAGGCTCATGACATTTCCAAGGTTGAAATGCTAAATTTTAAAGGCCTGTTACTTTTCTCTCTCATGGATTTCTCTGCTCCTTTAGCTTTTCCCTTCCTTTGATGAAGTTGCTTTGAATAGAAGTATATTTAGGGCGTGTGCGTATGCTTAGCTCAGAGTTGCCTGCGAGGATGCTTGGGTTCCAGTAGAAAATGATGCCACCGAAATCTTGTTCCTAATGCTGACATGACCCACCAAGATGCTTCTTCAGCTCTCCGCGAAGATGCCCTACAGCACAGACAGTCCAAGGCTGTGCCTACAGGTCTGCTCTTATGAATAGACAGCATGCCATGTGCCAGGAAACAGAGCTGCACACTCTCCCTTAGTTCAACAAATGGCCACATTTTTGGAAAGTGATTTTTTTTTTCTCCGTTTTTGGCTAGTTTGAATTCCTGGGAAAGGTGTCTTTCACATGAATCTCTGTAATGGGAAGGGGTATACCAACTTATTGTCCTCGTCTCCAGGGAATTGCTACTCACAGCTTCTGGCTTGGAGGAGGGATAACTGTTTGTTCAAGTACATTGA